TCAAGTTATTCCTGCATTTAAAAAAATAAAATTATTTTGCCACAAAGACAAAACTTCGTCAGAGCTTCCTCCCAGCTTTCTCCCCTGGCCCGAGTGAAACCTTTCAGAGAAACGATGCTGGGTTTTTTGGATCTGTTGTCTCAAAACAACAATGGACAGTTACCCCATTAAAGCATCTAGGACAGGATGCACCACGATATTCCTCTTCTACATTTGCAAGTGACCATAGGGGTGGTAGTTCCAGGATAATTTTAAGGAGTGTCCAAAGACACCAAAGCTTTCCTCCTCTGCTGTTTCTTGTACACGGTTGGTTGGCCGTTCTCTAACAAGACAGATGGATGCAGACCCAGCCACAAAAACAACTTTTATTATATTAGGGCAGCTGCTAATTGCACCCAGTCGCCGTGCCTCATTTACAGCGACACACCACCAGGCTGGAAGCCTGCAGTCCCCACAACAGGCTGTTCCTTCCTTCGAGGTGGGTCCTTCCTCACAGCAGAGCTCCTGGAACAGTTGGAAAGCTGTGCTTTATCGCAAACCAACAGGCTGTTCCTTCCTTCGAGGTGGATTCTTCCTCACAGCAGAGCTCCTCTGCCTCATGGAACAGTTGGGAAGCTGTGCTTTATCGCAAATCAAACCCTCACTAAGCTGAACACAGAAAACCATTAATGCTAAAGGAACAGATTAGACAGGAAGAAACAGGAAGAAATCCTTAAGTTCCCAACCTCAGTGGCTTTTGGGGGCCAGTTTTGCTCCCACCTTTCTGTTCACTACAGCCTGCCTCTAGACACAGGCTGGTGCAGATGCACACAGTGAAGGTCACTCAGCATTTTGCTTCCTCTCTCCCCTTTTCCTCCCAAATATTCATATATTAACAATAACTGACAGATCTACAGGTATCTCAGGATACAATTTCTTCATAGTAGCATGAAATTTTTTTCCTTTGGTCAAGCAGCTGAGATTTAAATGTTATTTTAGTGTCAACAACCTCTCTCATTTCTTAATGGTGCTCTGCAACCTGCCCTCTAATCCAAAACACAGTAACTTGACTCTTGTTTTATCTTGAGATTGCACTAGGACTATTCAACATGCTTTAAATCAAACATTTTGAGAGTGCTTTGCTACATAAGGATTTTCAAGTGTCTCACAGTATCAAGCCTAAGAAGTAAGAAATAATATCCCTCCAAGCTTTAACACTCTCAGAACAGAGTCTCTGTTTTACTTTGCTCTTCAAAATAAAATTAGTCCAACCACAAGGTTATGAAATGTTCTTGTTCTCTGGACACCTCTCTGCGATTAAATGAAATTAGCAATTTTTATCTTTAAGGACCATTGCATTGGAACTGCTCCAGGACACCATCTTAGCTGGGATCCAAACAATTGAGTGTCTTCATTTATATTCTTATTAAAGAGCAGTTTCTGAGGGGGAACTAAGACCAAGTTGATCTGACTAATTCAGCTCAAGATGCATTCCCAAAGATCACCAAAACCCTAAAAAGTAGTGAGGATTTCAAGCACTGCTTTGCATGTACAAAATTTGCTTCAAAATTATAAGAGAAACAAGGAAGAAAGCAGCTATACACACAGATTCCCTGCATGTCTATTTAGAAACAAAAAAGGACTTCATACATTTTCATAAAGCTCTTCAGAAGGCCTGAAAAACTAGTAATAAAGTATACTTTTGTGTTATTATCCCTGAAAAGAAATTAATTTGGAATTCAGTTTTGTATGTCAGTTGGGCTTGAGTAAAGTACAAACAGGATGTTCTTACCAAGAAGCTGCAGGACCAATCACTGTCATATAGGAAGCTACAGTTATTTTACAATGCTTCTCCCAAAACTAAACACACTCCCTTAAAAGCAGCAATTAATAGTATATTGTTGGCTGTGCTCCAAGCAAACCATGACACGTACAGTCTGCGGTATGGTTGTAGGGAGGATGGGGCCAGGCTCTTCTCCGTGGTGGCTGCTGACAGGACAAAGGGTAACGAGTGTAAGTTGAAACACCAGAAATTCCACCTCCATATGAGGAAGAACCTCTTTATTGTGAGGGTGACAGACCCTGGAACAGGCTGCCCAGAGAGGCTGTGGAGTCTCCTTCTCTGGAGATCTTCCAAATCCACCTGGATGTCACCCTGTGCCACGTGCTCTAGGTGTCCCTGCTGGAGCAGGGGGGTTGGACCAGATGATCTCTAGAGGTCCCTTCCAACCTCAACCATTCTGTGACTCTGTGAGGTCCTCCACATACACATTCCTGCCACTGCTATAGTCAGGCCCCAAAATACTCAAGGATGACCCTATATTCCAAGGGCTCTCATTAAAATCTGTGCAAGTTTTTCCAGCCTGACAGCTGCAGAGTTGGACACGTATACATTAGCTGATGGAATTCTTCTTCCCTCTTTTCATCTAAAAGGAGACTTGTTCTGGAAGTCCTACAGGAAACTTCCTCAATTCACAGGACTTCTCAGTATCAACAGTGCATTGTGAAGCACCATATCTTTACTGGATTCATTTGATCACTCCAGGCTTTGCTGTTTTCATGTAGGAACCTAAATTCAAAAGCTGGTCGGACTGCAGAGATCCCTTATTGGGAAATGCTCGAGGGATCATTTCAAGATGGTCACAAGATACTCAGGTTCACAATATTTAACTGCAACCACATACCACGCACATAAGATATGCAGTAATCACTCCAGCTCGTAGCACAGTTACATTTTATTTTTTAAAAAAAAGATTAAGTCAGAACTTTCAATGAAAAATGAAACAGATTTAGTCTAAACCCTTTTCCAAACATGCTCAAGTAAGCACAGTTAAAGTCAATCTCAGATAAGAAACAACTGTAAACTAAGGTTGATATTGCCATATCAAAAGCTCAATTAAATAAACAATCAATAAGCATCACATCTTTCCTTCAAAAATCCAGAGGCTGTGAGCAAAAACCTGAACTCTATTACATTCTCTTCAGTTAGAAAGAACACGAACCAAAAGGTTTGGCAGAAAACAAACTGCAGGAATTGAGCTAGAGGATGAGACAGCTTGGAATTTCTCTAACAAATTTCTCATTCCTTTTCAAGAAGGGAGAAGGCATGACTGGACTACCCTGATAAAAGGTATTGTGGCAAATCAGTTACCTGAGGAAAACAGTCATCAGTATTGCAGAAATCAAGTTTTCAAATGACATTAAAATACGCCGATACATTCTGAAATATGTGATCCCAATGCCTAGCCAGAGATCTAGGAACACACATTTGTATATTACAGTGCTAAATGAAGTACAAAAAATACACAAAACAGTTAAAAGGCACTTTTAGCTGGCACAGGTCTTGCTATACACTACAGGCAGGTAAGTGATACAACATACTGCTTGGAACCAGTATAGCAATCAGTGTGATAATGGTATACACTATTACACATGCAGAATCGAGTACATAAATAGTCAAGTTGCAATGCTAGCTTAGTTAACAGACGGAGAAATCCATGTTACTTTTGATGTAAACAGCAACATTTCTAGTAAAGACATTTTCATTTTAGACATTATTGTATCTATTTAACATTATTGTATGCAGAATATACAATACTGTCTATAAATTATAAGGCACTCTGTATTATTAGTCAAGAAATGGTGAGGGTAAGACATTCGGAGAGAACTTCCCAGGTTGCCTCATGCTACACAAAACTGCAGATATCCTCACTAACTGCACACCTAGACAGGCCAGATGTTTGTATGTAAAAGGCAATTTAATTCACCCTTAGTCCACTGTTGCATAGACACAGAAACCGAGGGACATTCCAACTACAGCACTTAAGTGAACCATGCTATTTTCCTGTTTTTAAGAGGTATTTTTCAAAAACTACTAGGTGATGAAGACAGGTAAGTTGCACAAGAGCTCAAGAGTTGACCTCTGTCTTTGTTCAACACAGTTGTTGATGCCACCACCTTCATTTCAACATAGTTGTTAAAGCCACTATATGTATATGCATATATATATAGGCTTACCTTATGGATCACTCTATCTTGCACACCAGAGAACCTGTTTGCTGAAAAGAGAATTTATTTTCTTTGCTTCTTTTTTTTTATCCGTTATTTAATAAACCAGCATCTCTTATAGACTAAGTGCAAAGCATTACTACATAGTTAGATCACATCATTTTTTTCATTGCATCCTCACTTTTACCTGGAGTCAAAAGGGGCAAGATATTAGTAAAACGTGAGCACTACAGGCATTGGAAGAGAAGTGCACATTGTTTTAGGCTTTCAAAACTCTTTCTATAAAAAAGCAAAGCAAATAGTATTTGGTATAGGTCACACACTGCTATAAAAGTATTTTAACAGTAGTTTGAAAATAGGGAAAAACACCCGTAATTTCTCAACTAGAAGAGCACAAGCTCAAGTATTCACAATGATTTACATAAACAGGACTCTTTGGGGCAGCATAAAGGAACTTTCACTACATTTGCATGACCACCAGCATGCTAAATGTGTTACATTTCCCAGGAGGAAGTGGGTAGTAGAAATGGCATTCAGTGCCTCCTCCTGTGCTCAGACGCTGGGAAACAGAGCCAACATCTGTGCAACTGGAGCTGCCTTGAACGTGGCCTTCAAGAAGTCATCAGCCTATACACAGGACAAATCACTTGTGAGAGAGGAGGAAATCCTGGACAAAATTCTCTTGCCCTGTTTATTGCCACAGTTTTAACCCGGTACCATTAGGAATCTATTTTCCTGATGTCTTGAAAATCAAAAAATGAAAGAAAAGGAGTGTACCCTTGCTATCTCTTTCACAACTGAAAGCATATATGTTCCTAGAGAACATCTACTGCTTTTGAGTTTGCCAGATACTCACTCTAAAATTAGAACCTACAAACAGCTGAAGTTAAAACAACAAAAACAATATAAAAATAACACACTTAAAAAATAATACTCCTTTTTTTCCTCCTCTAGATCCTTGTCCATACACGCCATTAGTAGTTCCATGAGAAGCTGCTATACTCAGTACAAAATTACTCCTCTGAACCATCCTCTTCCTTATTTTCCAGCAAGGATGTGCTTGTATCTCCATTACTCTTTTCATTTGCATCTCCATTCTTCTCTGGTTCCCCCACTTTCTGGTGAGCAAACGTATAAGCATCATGGTCTGTGTCTGTCAGAGGTGGAGGTTCCTCTGTGCTACGAGAGAGTTTAATTTCTTTTCTGAAAGACAGAGGAGGTGGAGAAGGTGGCAAGCTACCAACGGGGCCATCGAAAGGCCGGTACACATCAACTTCTGGGGTAATGGAGCCATTGGATTCCTTCAGCAAGTGCCCGTAGACCATGGCATCGTCAATCACTGCGTAGACGTGAGACTCGTTGTTCCTCCTCCCTTTCTTGAATAAGCCTGGTTTTCCAGGCATCTGGGTATTCACGTTAGCATTGTATACTCCCACCATAGGATTCTGGCTTTTCTTCTTCCTGCTACAAAGTTGAAATCAACGTATCAGAAAGAAGGCAGGGCTGGTGCATGTGAACTAGATAACCACAGCTTCTATTTACACATTGCAGCTTCTCAGTATTTGACAGTCTACCTGGACTGAAGACTACACTTGCAATCTTTGGAAGAATCTCTCTTGAGTCTAGACATGCTTCCAAATATAGCACTTTTTTTAACAAAACAGAAAATAAACTCTTCAGTATTCAGTTTCATATTTCTGTTCTACTGCCTTTGGAGTTGGGAAGATTAACTCCAGCACTCTTCCAACGATGCTGGGCACTGAGTCTCTTAAAACCCACAGATATTAATTGGACCTAACTGACATCAGGCCCTCATAAAACAAGGCTGACTGTTGAACAGGACTAGTAAGCTGGAAACACCTCTGAAAGCCAAATTACCTTTTGCTGTTCATGGTGTGACCATCACAAAATGGAAAGTGTGAAGGCTGAGCTGAAGATGATATCCAAAGCTGAAGATGATATCCAAATGAGTGGCTGAGCTACATGCTTACAAGCTCTAGTCATCATAAGGGGTAATTTTGTCCCTGCTTTATAGCTCCTGGATGCAATTACCCTGCTAGCTCTGAGCACACGTGTATCAAACTCCAAGCTATCGATGGCTTCACACTCTCCTTGCATGAGTAATGTTACATACGTTTTACTTTGCACAACCTAGTTCTTTCCCAAAGGGCTCATCCCTCTTTAAAAAGTGGTCCTATTCGGTTTGCAAACCTCAGAATAAATTGCTACAGGCTGTCTTGAAGAAAAATGGCTGTTCTTGTATCTGATTTTTCTCTGTGCCATTCTAGGCACATAATAAAGAGATTCTCACCTTGGTCTATCCTCAGAAAGTAAAATTCCTCTGACCATGAGAAATAAAACAGGATATACTCTTTAGAAAAGTCTTAATTTAATGATTTAGAATCAACTTGGGGACTTTGTCTCAAGCTAACGATGCATAAACTTGGCTGATTTCCAGAAACCAGTAAAGTAAGTTTAAAACTTGAACAACCTTGCATAATCACAGCAGGGCAACCACATTTACTGCAATTTCGCAGCAGCCATTGATTAAATCCAACCAATACCTTACTTGCAGGACAACCAGAAGCTCACACTATTGCAAAAGCTCACTGCTAAAGCCAAGCATCTGGGAGTAAAGCAGTATTCTTGTCACTTTAACCCCCAGCATATTGCTTATCTTATGCTTCCGACCCTTGTCCTAATGACAACAGCAACATACATATCAACATTTCATACAAGGAGGGTCCAGTGACTCTCCAGAAGTGTCTTATTGAACTGCAGTCACAGATACTGAATTATGAACTTACTTTTTCCTAACGCAGCACACGGTGAGTCCAATAGCCACAAGAAGTCCAGCCCCAGACACCACAGCAATTATCACTGCTAGATCTACAAGCAGACAATAATGTACAGGAACACTGAGTGAAATGTAGAAAATATTGAGCTTTCTTCTAGAAGCCAATTGGATTTGAATGTTTTCAAGATTTTTAGGAGCACCAACTGTGTGCAAAGCAGGAGTTCTCAGACTGTGCTCATCTAGGGGTGCACAAGCCACTTTAAAGCAGTTTATGGCCAAACAAAGACATGCTGCTTATCGTTTGAGAAGGAACTGCTGCTACTAGAGGAGGAACGCAGCCAAATAAAAATTAAAATAATAAAATGCCATGAGCCTTTGGTGTAATAATTCAATAGTTAAACTCACCTCCTACGTTTCACACGCCTCTGACTGGATAGGCAAAATATAGGAGAAAGTGTAGGGAGAGACAGATAAAGATACAGTAAAGAAAGTAGTTACATCTCACCAACCTCCTATGAGTAACATTTTCTTCTGTGAGGCATAAATGAAAGCCCCAAGCCAACAAAACTAGAAATCATAAAACTCACTGGGAAATCGCACATGTGAGCGAAGAGAAAAATGCTGCATGTTTGAAAGATGCAGTTAAAAAAAAAAGAAAGAAAGAAAAAAAACACCCCACACAACCACTGCACCCACACACAAAACAAATAGGAAAAAAAAGAGCAAAAACCCCACTAATTGATACTGTTTCTGGTCTAGCCTACGTACAGACTGCAGCAGATTCCCAAAAATGACAACACAACTGCTCACGTACCTAGATTACTGGCAAATTGGAAGCAAATCACATAGTTTGAGTAAAGCCTACCCTTTAAAAAAAAAAAAAAAGACTTTTCAAATAACTTGCGTTTCAGGGAGATGAAAGGACAGGAAGAATACAGATTTTGTCATTGGCAGTTGGGCTGCCCCCCACTAAATGGTCAGACCTGCCCAAAGGAGTATTTCAAACTCACATGGATGCTGAAACTAATGGAACTGCAAACATTAGGTGAAGACTACATGGAGGAAGAAGTTTGCATAAGCAAATCCCAAGTCATTCACCAGAGGGCACTTGAGAGGGCAAAACATCACTTGCTATGATCTCCCATTTAAAAACCAAGAATAACCTCACATATCCAAATCTCTCTCCCCCTTTTTCAACTTTAAAGATATGTGAAAAAACATCTTTCTTCCCATGCTATGAAAGTGCTCATCCAGAACTCAGAGAGGTTTCTGTCTAATAACACACACACATGATTCCAAGATATGCAACAGAACAGCATACACTATTGTTCTCACAAATGGAAAGAAAGGAATCAAGTGGAAAACCAGCCACCATATCCTTATATAACTCACCTATCTTTTTTTCAGCCAAAATCACCCAGAACTGCAAGGCAAAATGCGTCTTATCCACAGGTTTACAGTTGGAGATGTTTACCCAGAAGTTGTGGTACATTTGCAGGGGCTTAGGCAGAGCTTCGTCCTCCCGGCGCACGGTTTCTTCTGCCCCGAGTCGCTGTTCCTGGATGTTGACATAAGCACGGCCCGTCTCACAGGAGACGCCCATGCGATCCTTGGAGAATCCCAGGCGAGCGACCTGCTTGCTGGGCACCATGATGTACCACGACATAGAGACGTACGGGGGCAGACCGTGCGACCAGTTGGGGGTCTGTAAGTAGAGTTTAGCTCCTGGGTCCGGCCTCACAGTGAACATGCATTCATCTGCAGCAAAGAAAAAGAACACAGGAATGAGTATTGACCTTTCATCATATTAAATTATCTTCTCCATAACAAAAATGCATCACTTAACACCTGCAACCAGCCAATTTATACAGTCCATGGCATCTCAGCCCCAGAATTACGAGTTTCCTGCCACATCTTTCACATCACTAATTTCCACAGTTAGCACAGATGTATCTGCAGAATTTGCCACAACCACCTACCTGCCTTCTGGATTACAAGGTATTTTTCTTCCCTCAAGAATTAAACAATGCCACTGATTCAAATAAAGATTTCTCCAAGGAATCACACCAGAATTAGAAGAAAAAAAAAATCCTTATTTCTTTTTATTCATGTACATATTAACGAATGTATTGAAAGATACAACAGTGGAGAAAGCAGAATCAAAAAGCTATCTTACCTTTAGTATGTTGCACAAAAGACATTTTCAGATCCTGACGATTAGACTCATTGAGGAATCCTTTACCAAATGTTTTTAAAGATATGGTAACATTGTTCCTCATCTGAATCTTTTCAATAGATCCTCCAGGACAGAATGTACCAAGAGTTAAATTCCTCTCTGGGGTGGCACTAATGATGCTGTAACTGTAGCTTGTGTTGCACTTTTGCTCTTGGACGTGTTGCTGAAGTTTCAAGGTCGGAGACATAATTTCTACATTGATCTGCTCCGGAGCCAAAAGCTTCCAAATAAACCTATGCAGTCGAACTGGCAGCTGGGTAATAGCCTTGGGCACTGAAAGGCCATAGATCTTCCCTTGGCACCGCCAAAAATCAACACAACCTGCAATCACAAGTCACACAGCTTTATTTTTCTTGCAGATGGAATACCTAAGAAAATCAAGCGTTATCAGAGTATACACAGAGAGTTCTGTCACTTGTGACATTTACCAGAGAAGGAACACATTCTCCTGAAGGCACAGCCATAGACTTTTATTTCCCCACTTCTAGTGAAAATTATTAAAATTACTAATTCCTAGTGAAAACTCAAGAGCTTTCCTTAAAATGCTGCAAGACAAAAAACTACAAGCATAAATGTATGCAATGCATCCCTATTCAATGCATTATTTTTGCTATATTGGTTACCTACTGGGACACCGCTACAGACCAGTTAAGGAATGTGGTTAAGGTCCAGATACGTAATTTAAAACTCTTGTTCTACAAGTATTTGAAAGCGTTTGGGAAAAACCTATGCCAAGCAGACATGCAAATGGCATAAGACACTCTCCTGATGGCAGCCATGATCCTACATTTTAATGGGCAGGTTTATGGCTCTCCTGTTTCCAGATTTTTTTATATAGTTTTTAGCATGAATATTCTTAATGGCATGCTATTATTTCCTAAGTACAACTACACTGTTTCTCTTTTAAAGGTACAATAAAGCAGTGAACAACACGGTCCAATTTCCAGTCATGCTCTGTTTAAAGTGTAAGCAAGAGACCAGGCTTGGCTGATCATCAGGGCAAAGCACCCAAAAGCATTCTCAGGGAAACAGGGTAAAAGCACTCTTGCCATACTTATTTTTTTTTCAGCTGTGATCCTCAGGCGGGCCAAGTCTTTGCAGAGAAAGGAAATCTTGTAGATGGCACCAGACACTAATGTCAGAGCGCGGTCACAGGTGCGAGGATCCTTACAGATCAGGCATACTGGCTCCGACATGAACGGGCTCCTGTTGGGCCACCCTTCCGAGTGTATCGTTACAGTCATATCCCATTCCTTGCTAAGATCAACCAAATGGGTGACATCTGCAACAGAAAACATAAATATTTCAGAGCAACTACTAGCAAAAACTGAACAGTGAAGTTTCTCCCTCTTTTGTCATTACATTAAATGAGCAGCTGTTATAGCTATTTTTATACTAGCTAAGAAAACATTATTTACTTATTTCGATCAGTGTAATATAAACCCAGGAGATATCGTGTTCTTCTAAAATAATTTTGAAGACCTTTTGCATACACACCCCATTTCATTATCTCTTTTCAGCTAAAATGAGATTACACACGTGCTGGTCCCTTTTGAACAGATTAGGCTATAATATGCAAGGAACTCATTAAAGGGTTCAGATCTCTACATTAAATTTGTTTTCCCTAGGAGGTGTTTTGTATTTCTTTTAAAGTCAGTTCTATTGATTCCGTAACAGTTGAATGGAGAAAGAAATTTCTCAGTTCTCAAATTCTCTATTTATTGTGGGATTTCTATCTCGATAACTTTCTGGGTTTTATTATTATTTTTATTTATTTATTTGTTAATAGCCTGATACATCATCTCAATTCCTGGGAAAGTGATGGAAAGGATAATCCTGGAAACCATTTCCAGAAGTATGAAGGACAAGGTGATTGGGAGTAGTGAGCATGCATTCAAGAAGAGGGAGACACATTTAACCAACCTGACAGCCTTTTAGGATGAGAAGGCTGCCAGAGTGAATGAGAGGAGAGCAGTGGGTGCTGTTTACCTTGCCTTTAGTAAGGCTTCAGTGCTGCCCCATAACACCCTCCCAGACTGCTGAAGTACAGCCTGGTGGAGGGGACACTGAGGTAGACTGGAAACTGGCTGAACTGCTGGGCTCAAAGTATTGTTATCAGAAGTACCAAGTAGGTGTTTTTTTTTTTTCTCCTCTCTCCAGGGAAAACTGGTATATCCCAGGAGTCAATCCTGGGGCCAAAACCGTTTAACATCTTCACTAGTGAGAAGGAGGAAGGGACAGAGCGTACACTCAGCAAGTCTGCACAACGGTGAGGAGGAGCCCACACACCAGAAGGTTGTGCCACCACCCAGAGGGACCTCGCGAGGCTGCAGCCAGGGGCACGGAGGAGCCCCATCAAGTTCAATAAAGAGAAGTGTAGAGCCAGGCTGGGGCCTGACCTGCTGGAGAGCAGCTTTGCACAGAATAACCTGCAGCTGTTGGTGGATGCTCTAGTCGACCACGAGCCAATGCGGCCCCGCGGCGGAGGCAGCCAGCGGCTCCTTGGGCTGCGCCAGGCGCTGTGTGCGCAGCAGGTCCAAGGAGGTGGAGCGCGAGGAGCGCTGCGCTCCTGCTGGGCTCCCCAGGATAACGGAGACATGGAGCTTCTGGAGCAAGCTCAGCAAAAGGCCACAGGAAACATCTAAGGTTGTGGCAGTAGCCTTCCCACAAAGCTTAGCCATCAAGTGGAAAGGAAAACAACAGATACACGCAGTATTTTATGCAATTAAGGAAGCACATATGTCTCTAATGCAGTGAAACAGATGATTGCAAATTAAAAATACACACAAAACAAAAAAAAAAGCCACACACACACACTTTAGGCCTTCAGTTTCTTTTTTTCAGCCATGAAACTCAACGGTATAATCAAAAGACAAATAAAATGGCCTTCTCCTGCATGGGAAACTACAGACATGAAAAAGCAAGACGTCTGGCAGAAATCTCCAAATCAGAGCCCCGGCTAGTCACAGAACTTAGATTTTCCACTGCACAAAATTGTTCCCAGCAGCTAAACATGGATCATATCAGATAGCGGGCTGATTTTTTTTTTTTTTTTTTTTTTTTAACTGTCACAAGCTGTATTTTCCCCTTATCTAATGACAAGCACCACAAACAGCTGTGGAATGCCCAAATGTTTGGGAAGCTTTAAGAATATGCAGATATCGATTCATTTTTCAAAAGAATTATGTTTAACTTTCACACTAGAGACAGCATGTATATATATTTTTTTCCCTTCAACACAAGTTTGAATACTTGCCTGAGGCATATTTCCATCTTTGATGGAAATTTTATAACTAAAAAACACAAATAAAACCCTCTAAAATCCCTAGGGGAGCCACTATCCATATGATTTATTACTTTCATTTCATTAAATAAAAGACAATTTGCTCTTTATTCGTTTAAAAATAGATTATCATCTTGTCTGTTGACTATTATATATTAAAATTCCTCTCTGCTTTCCAGAGTAGGAGGAGGAGAAAGCTGATTAACCAAATAATGTATGCTCTCTGTCTGGCTTCCCAGATGCAACATACAGTAAACATAAGCAAACATGATTTGGATAACAAGGTTTTCCTCTGAGGATTCAGGAGGATTTGGTGTTCACAAATTTGCAGTCCACAGACTGGGCAAAGAGCTGTGGATGCGACTATCCAGAAGGGGCCTGTAGCTTCTCAAGGCACAGGTCATGCAAGCTTCATTCCCTCTAAAGTATTCACTAAGTCTCTACGGAGCAGCTCCTGTTGCAGTGGCAGCCTGAGCATGGACTTCTATCACCTCTGCCTTCATTGAGAAGGGCAACTTGGTTACTCTTCCCTACCAGGAACTCAAACACCTAAAAAGCCAGAGGATAAACCCTCACACCTCTTTACCTAGCTAGTCCTCCTAGGCCTTTTGCTCCTGTTTTTAGATAGGTGTAGTGCCATTACAAGTCATTGCACAGGTCTTTTTCCACGGATGCACTTTACCCAGGACTATTAACCCACACTTGCTTGATCCCATCTTAGAAAACAACCATGTCACCTCTTACGTCAAAAAGATGTTCTACACATGTAGAAGATCTATGCACCTCAGACTAATTCTTTTCACGTTTACAGGTAGCACAATTTCCTCTATCCTTATCCTCTAAAAGTGCATGTGGCCGTAAGATTTTGGGACTTGAAACAAAGTCTCCGTACTTCAGCAAGCCCATCCCATTCTCCAAAGACCCAAACTTCACAAGTCTATCACACTTTTTTATTTAACAACTCACAAGGTCTGTAAGTCTCTTCTAGGGTGCTTTGCAAATGAGTTCTCTGCTAAGTCACTCTTGGCAGAAGAGAACACTGTTCACCAGCAAATACCGAGCTCAGTCAGCACCTCAACTGACATCCTCCATTCTGAGTTTAAGATGTAGTGACTAAAGTTCATTAAAGATATAGCCCATTTCATCTTGCACTTTATTTGAGCAAGAGGCTAAACATTTTAACTAGTGCTAAGTATTAAATGTTGAAGAATGTGTTAAGCCAGGCTGAGATTGGGGGCTGGAAATTAAAATCTGGTCTTTTTTAGTGTAGTAAGCAGTAGCAAGAAATCACAAGAACATTTGAACAGGTAAGGGGTTGTTATTGAAGTATCCTGCTGACATAAAAGTTGTTTAGTTGCTGACTAGAAGTTGTTCAGGTTGCTCACATAAAATTCAGAGGAAGGAAGGTAAAAAAAAAAAAAAGAAAGAAAGATGCTGTATCAATGTCATTAGCAGTGTAAAGAGAAACAATTTTAAATCTCTCCCATTTCACCAGTCCATATTCTGGATTTTGACCAGCCATGACAGTAGGTTTCACCTTGCTAAACATAACTGTTAAAGTCCAGGGCATAAACCCAGGCAGATTATTCACATTTTAAGAGTGGTTTTAAAATGTTGAATCTTACAGCTGAAAACAAAATTATCTGAATAAGCTTGAACCTGATTTCTGTATTGGAAAACATGCAGTGATGTGTAAGCATTTCCAGTGAAGCAGTTAAGATTCTTAAACCATAACTGCATCGAATCCCCACACCAGGAATGTATTCTCGAAGAAAAGCTTCCTGTAGCTTAGGGATTTTTTTACACAGCATGTGAGATTTGAGTCCACAGGTGCTGAAGGGGTTTTTCAAATACACAGTGTGGGTACTGGAACAGGAAAGGAACCTTCCTTTACAAGACACAGTACGAAGCCAACGTGGAGGTCTGATCCTGCCTTGCAGTTTCAGCACCGCCGCTGCCCTCGCTGTCACTGGCACCCAGCACTGAGATCCAGGCTGCTCAGGGTTGCCTGGTAACCCTCTTCCTTCAACTTGAGGAAGGTCCAAAGTTGAACACCCACATATTTTTATGTATATATAATTAAATGCACACTTCTCTCGTGTGGTTCCCACCCTAGATGTCCATAAACAAAAGCAGTAGAGCTAATTGATAAAATAGCACGTGAAACAGCAGGCATAAGGAGACGTAAGGGGCAAACAGCTACTTACTCTCATCAATTTGAGGGTGCTGAACAACGACTTGGAAAAGCAAACGGAGGACGCCGGGGTTCTGGGCATCCTGGTCGCAGCCCTGCAGGGACAGGTTGAAACTGCCAGCAATATTGGCAGGCTGTATGTCACTCAGCTTAAACACCTCTGGGTTGCTCACTGAGCCAGGTATGTAGTACTCCACCCTCTCCTCTTTCCTTTCACAGTTGGAGAGACTGTAGTTGTGAAAAAAAACACTTGCTCTCATGTTGGACGGAACAACAAACTGCCATGTCATGAGCTCGTCCTCTGGAAAGCCCCGGGGATAGTTGGGGGACATGAGGGTGACGGAAGATTCCTCCTTTAAAGTGGATTCAATAATGCATAATCCTATGACAGGGAAAAAAAATACACACAAAATAAGCAGCAGTTAAAGATAGCTTACAGGAAGACATGCAGAACACTGCAGTGGTAGGGATTTTTGTTTGTTTGTTTTTAATTGTGGGATCATCCATGTCAGCTACAGGCTAGGTTATTAAACCAACACATATACTTGAGTCCTTGAGTACAGGACAGGTAAGGGCTATGCTAAGGCTGTATTTTCAGGTTAGTGGATTTATCTTCCAAGCACATGGACAGATAGTCCTGTATTTTTGGAAATGACAGGTTCTGGTTCTGACCTTGCAGGAGCCAACATCCAACATGACAATGGCTTCTGCTAGCACTGCTTCACGGACTGCATGCGACAGGAAGGGCGTGAGCTTTTACATCAGCGTGGAGTCTCAGAGGTCGAACTAGAGCACACCAGCAAAGAGCCTCAAATATGCACGATAAAATATTCGTGGGAACCACACAGATCATGTAACACATTTTGTGCACAAAGGGAACAATGACACTTAAAACTGTAAGAATGCAGAATGAGGGGTGCCCTTCCTTTTTTGACTGTTTCAGCATTGCTACACAAGGAGAGGAGGCCTCAAATAAGTTGAGGGAGCTTTGTTTAAAAATAAAGCAAACTACACATTGCGAGCAACAAACAACTCTCCTAGCTCACTGTAATTATGCTGTGAAGTTGAAAAGATTTAAAAATCACAAATCAGATATGTTTGTTTTAAAAAGTTTAAAGAGATTGAAAGTGCATACTAAAAGTAGCAACAACAATTTTCATAATCATTAGGTTAAGTAATAAAGATGTAAATTGACCCTAGGAGAGTAACAGATACCAAACTTAGCTGCAAAAACAAAAAAGCATTTTAGAAAATAGGAAGCGGAATAAAACTAGGGATAGTGATACAGAAACTAGACATTGTGAGCAAGTCAGTGGAGCAGGGAAGTGGCAGTTCTTGATGCTTCTGCACACATACTAATAAGATGGTGCCAGTATGGGGAGACAGATAAGTGGGAGCACACACATGATAAAACCAAAGCAAGATGCAGGCAGGCATGACCTCAGAGATATCTAGTTACTGCAGGTTAGCTAAAAACAAAAGCTTAGAGAATTCTGCTACAACCTGCATGAAGCAATTATACTGAAAAGAAAAACTGAGAAAAAGGTATTTGGTACTTACTTTTGATGGAAGATCTATTTGCTATGTTAAAGCCTGAGGTGATGAGAGATGAGTTCCATGGGAGATACAAAGCCATGATGAGCCCTCCTTGCAGTTTGACCCGAGACACTGAGCCACCTCTGCAGAAGGTGCCAATGTTGACCGTGGCTGTATCGATACAGCTGCTGATATTGTAACTAACGAAATCTGGACATGTGCCTTCTGGCTCAATCTGTCTTAGCCATGGGGTGGCAAATTTCAGTTCGAGCCCAGCCTTTGTACTGGCCTTCACATCCCAGATGAAAGTCCTGTTAAGACGAGGTAGTCCTGGTGGGTAAAGGTGGACATCTCCAAAGGGACATGGACCTGACACACAGTCTAAATGCAGAGAGAGAACAGCCATGATACACTATTGAAGGCCATCAAGTAAAGTAGAAATTTGCTACTTTCCCTTTTGTTGCTATTTCTACAGTTATTAGGTTGCACTTCATGTCTCTCCCACATTCATAAAGACATTGCTGTAGTGTGGTCAAAGACTATTTTTAAAGAGAACTCCTATCCCATAGGACAGACAGGATAAGCTAGCTCTAGGGATGAGTCTAATATAAGGGAGCTACTGTCTGCAGGATTCTTGCCTTGCTTGCAGAAGTCAGCAAGGGTATTTAGTGAATAGCATAATGAACTGAAAGAACAGAAGGTCCCGATTTCACCCCATCTTAGGCAGAGAATTTTGATTTGATGCCAATCAAATCTTCCCACTGCTTGTCATGAACTGTAACTTCATTTTCTTGATGCCCTGACAGATAACCCAGGCCCAGAATGTGCTGAAGTGATGAGTAATCACAGCTGCCACCAAGCATTCTGGAGAGCACCCAGGGACATTTCCTTAGAGAAATCCAGATTAGCAGTATTCCAGAATGGATAGCCAAAATAAGCAGCCTTTGATGTATTCCTAGTTTCCCATTTATAAAGACAAAGTAAATACCACAACTATGATAGATCAAGTAGAACAAGAAGTATCATATTACTATTTGCATGAACCATGTAAATAAAACTCCAAAACTTGAAGAGAACTATCTTTAGAGCAGAGTTTAAATGCAATCTCAACCATGAGGATACAGCCAAAGCCAAATAAAGTCTGCAACTTTGCTGATAAATCACATGTGTTTGTATCATTAAAGAGTATGTTGCCACGCTTGCATACATTGGGGATAATGTTCAACTTAAATGAAGATTTAGTTCTAACTTGCAAAATCTTCAAGTTCTTTGCTTTAATAATATTTCAATTAATATAAGGCAACACATATTGCTTCAATATTTCTGTTGCCCTCACAGACTGAATCTAGATGTTTAATGTGTAGCATGGTTGATATGTCATTAAAAATATTCAGAGGCTTTTGACAGGAAATAAGTTAACTTTGGTAGGTTCATAACCTGGGACAGAAGGGAAGGCAGAAAGCAACAGATGTAACAAGCAATCATTTAACTGTTTCTGAAACCACTGAGTTAAAAGAACTCTGCATTTTTATGACCTGCAGATTGAAAATTAACTTCTGTAACTTCAGTACTTCGGGTTATTTATCAAAATTCAAAGACTTCCCCACGATTATAGGAAATAAATTACTACAGTCACAGGGACTCCCTTCCCCATCATGACAACAAAAACGCAATAACAACAACACTACAGGTATGTGGTTTTACTAGAGGAAGCTATCATGGGAAGGAAAAAAGTGAAAACATGCGTCTTACCAATATTTTTCTGAACTTCCATGATGAAATATTCCTCTGGATTTTTACAAGTGAAAGTAAAAGTTACATTCTCCCCTGGTTTTATCTTGAGGTCATATCTGGGTAAATATTTCACACGAATCTGACAGGCCTGTGGAACACCAGGTCTCAGTTTAATCACAACTGTGATGTTGTCCATGGTATGAAGAGAGACAGTAAAGGAAGCTAAGGGAGGAGAAAAAACATATTGTGTTTAGTTACTAGCGTGTATGTGCATTAGCTGCCTGTCTGCACACCCACGGGGATGCCAAGCTGTCAGAAGTGATGGTTGTACCCAGGCTCTCAAGTCTCGAGCACTGAATCTACACACAATTCCCGCAGCTGCTGCAGTTGAGCACAGAAATCCTCTAGCTGCATTTGTCAGGGGCAAGGTACTAAATGGAACCCAAGTAGGATTAGTTCTGCTTCACTTTGGCACTGCTGTTTGTATCATGTTTAAACTAAGCAAACTAATCACAAACAAACAAAACCCCTCAGCTATTCCTTTCAAATTTCTGTTGAAGGGACAATACCTTTTGGGCTTTTATCTCCATCATAAAAGCTGCTTCATGCCAGAAGGGATCCACAAGACTGTAACTCAGGAAACATACTCAGAAGTCAAACAACAAAGTTGGACAACTGCATGCTGCAGTAACAGGCCAACCTCACTAGGCCAGCCGGACTCTACGGGCTACCAGGTCAACTTCAGGTCAGAGTAGGTAAGGGCCCTGGTGATACCAGACAACACCAAGAGTACAAACCAACTGACATTTTTAAGAGCTAATCCATTCTGAGTTATTAATGCATTGTTAAACAACTGCACAGTTTAATTTTCTCTAAGAGAAGGAAGAGACAAGCAAGAGACATCTTCCTCCACAAGACAGCTTTGCGAAAGAGTGGGCTGGCCAATAGTTGTGGCCATGGTCATGGTTTCCTACTCCTTGTCTTTCTTAGTTCATTCACTGAAAACACACGAGCCAGCAACACCCCACAGCAGCACTGGTGGCATCTGGGGCCTGGGATGGTCCCTCCTCTGCATCCCTCACGTGACTTACTCCAAATTTCGGGCCCTAAGGGAAAGCACTGGGAGTCTGAGCAACCTTCACACATTTCAAATCATCTTCCAGCACTACTGCAGCAGGAGCAGCTCTTGCGCCAAGTAATGGAGCCACAGAATAACCCTGTCATATTGAATAGGTAGGGGTTTAATTGACAAATAGGCCACAGTTGACAGTTTGGTAACAACTTAAAAGGTACAAAGCAACACTGGCTGGACATTCAAGAGCACTAGAAAAGTTATTTGCATCAATCTGATCTTTGTCAAAGAACAAGCCCAGCCCTGGCTGGGACACGGAAAGTGTGCATTGAAGACAGCTTTACCTTCCATCTGAGGACAGATTACTTGTCAAATTTTCTGCCATTTTTTTTTCCACTGGTCTCTCCTTCCTTTGCCCCCAACATCCTTCTTCCACTGTATGGATGATACAGTCATAGTGTCTATAACATTTGGGATTTTAGTGTTTACGGGAAAAATATATATATAGGAGGATGTAGGAGTAAGGGTCCATGTTGGAAGAGGTCCACTCCTCGAGTGGGACACCAGGGAGGGCTGCCTGACACAGTTCTGCCCACACGCCAGGATGGGAATCCTCTCATCCATCGATTCCCGTAAACAGAGACCCACCCAGAGGATACAGCCAAGCGACATGCCCGGGGGAGCGCTGAGCTGTCCTCCCTGTCACACAGCACACCAACGAGGTGCCAGAGAAGGTGCCACGAAACACCCGGGATGGGCGGGCGCCTGGTGCCCGCAGCCGCGGCACCTGCCTGAGCACAGCCGGGATCAGGGCGGTCAAGGCCTCAGGCTACCTGGAAGGGGCTCCGCAGCACGGCCCAGAGCAGCCCGGGGAACCTGGACCAGCAGAGCCCTCTCGTGGCACCCGAGCACTGCTTCTCATCCCAGCCAAACCAACCCACACACCTCAAAACCGTAGCCTTCAGCAACACAGAAATAAGGTTAAATCATCTGTGATTCACGCTCCTGGCTTTATTTTTATTTTTCCCCTTTAACCACCATTTATCATTTCCTGATTTTTACAGCAATCTCATAGCCACACAGGGCCTAACTTTCATGGCTTTGAAGATCTATCAATCAGCACAGGTTATCCTTTGCTGCCACAAAAAAGACTCCAGCTCCAGGATCTGAGAGCTCAGATATCAACACTTTATTGCTGGGGATAGCACAGCAGGGGAGGCCTGTGCCTCTCCAGGATACCTGGTTATTGCCATTTAAGCTTTGCTGGTCTTGAGCCTCTCCCAACCTTCTAGGCTCTTCTATAGAAGCGTGAAGTCTAGAAACTTGATAAACCTTTGAAACTGCCTTATTTATTTGCCTCTAGGATCAAAGGCTTTAAAGCAAAACCACAAATGACAAAATTCTACATGTACTGGTAAAGAATCATCCACTCACCTTCCATATCATTAGTAAATATATCAGTAACTTTCTTAGAGCTTTTAAATAACAGGACAATCTTCTGATCTGACAACTTACACTGAACACCTCATCCTTTTCAAACAGCTAGTACCAATGAAAAATAACCACCACCGCTTGTATTTCTGCTTTAAAAACATTTCCACACTGTTTTTAAAGTGTTATGTTTTTTTTCCAGGAAATAAGAACATAATACAGGCTAAGGGCATGGGGAAGGAAACAGAACAGTTCATGGGGACATGTTGGTCCCCGTGACATGTTGGTTCAACCAGGAGAGCCCTTGGGGCTGAGTCTGAACCACAACCCTGTGACGCAGCAGCTGAAACAAAAGGCTTCTCCCACTCACGCAGAGGACAAAGTGGCAGTGAGGGATGTAGGCCATCCTCTCAAGCAGCCTCATATCAGCCACCAGATCTACCCATGCCAGTCACGGCTGTACATGTCCAGGAGAGGAAGATGACATGCTCCAGAGAAGGAAAGCCATCCTGCTTTTCAAAACGAGGCCCTAGGAGAAAGTCTGAGGCATGTCACTCAAACCTCTCTTTCAATTAAGAGGATCTCGAAGGAGCATCTTGCAGAGCCACTCCACCACAACGCGAGGCCAGCATCCCACGTACCACTCTGCACTTGAGCTGCGGCAGCCACGTACCTGCCTGACCATGCAGGGCCTGAGGGGAACTACAAGGGACTTCTGACAACAGCACAACTGAAGTCCCAACTCAAACCCTGTTCTCCCGCCTCTGAAATTGAAGAAACACAGGACTCTCCTGGAAAGACATGAAGTTGGATATGAAGCACTTAATTAATTCTTCACTTAGGCACAACTCAAGCCTCCCTAAAATCAATGGAGAAGCAGCCTGCTAAACTTACAGGACATGGGTTGAGTTTGCAAAGCTCTTTGCAATGGTTTTCATCTTGTGTGTATACCAGGGGTGGAAGGGAATATCCATGAATTCCTTCTGCAAAGTCTATTAAAGCAAATTTATAGCACTGCACACAAGAAAATGCACATGCTTTTCCTTCTCTAATGCAATGATGTTGCGCAAACAGCAGTAAACAGGTGTAACTTCCAGGGATGGTGAGAATTATATAGCAAAGCAAAGCTAGCAATAAAAGATGCCCCTCTTGGTTCTTCAAGACAAAACAGACTGAGAACACAAACAGCTATTTCTAGCTTGGTCTAGGTTTTTCTCCACATCACTGTGCGCTTCTATTTTAATATCCTATGCTGAAAAGTGCCATAGTTTTCTTCTTTATGTCATCTAGGTATGACTTAATAGTTAACAGTTAACAACAAGGAAGCTTTTATTGCAAACAGTAACTATCACACCCCTCTGCTGTTTGAGTAGTACTGAAAAGTCCATTCCTCATTTTCTTGTGAAACACGTACACTTTTCACTCTTCCCCGCTTCCTCTGAAATGGCACATGTAAATGGCCAAACAGGCAGAACTGGAAAGCACGAAGAGCACTGACGGAAAGAGTTTCTGAACTAAGAGCTCGTGCGCAGCTAACATCATCTCTATTTAGTGTGAAGAATTAGGTTTAAGCATAGCTTTAAGCAGGTGATTAGCTTTAAAATAAAAGTTTCTGAGCTGAAATCAAGGAATAGAAACTGCTAAGATTTTGAAACGGTTGTATGAATCCTCTCACAATGGTTAAAGCAAAGTATAAACTTTCCCCATCTTTGGGAGTCCTGACTTCAGTTTTCTGTGTTTTGGGGTGGTATTGAGGGTTTTATCATTGTTATTTTCAGATTTTGTGACCTTGGGCCGTGACACAAGACAAGACACACACACGCACACGGCAGAAACCAACCCAGCTGTCAGCGTAGGAATGCAAGACATAGGCAAAATAAAACTGCTGGTTCGAGCTCGCAAGAGGCAGCTCATGCTTCAAGACTCAACACTGGCTTGAATAGGGTCTATTCAATACTGATTTCCAGCCTGAATATGGACTATGGGTCACAGCCTTCCACCTGCAAAACAGGGACTGCCCCAAAAATCACAGAGGTGCCACAATGATCAGTAGCCAAACTTACAATACTGGGCAGTAAGAATGCAGATCATATATCCAGCTAGATTCAACAAAGCTGTCCAATAAAAACACAAAAGAAAGGCATTAAGCTGGATTATTGTATAAACATCTTGCTAAAATAAAATTCTGCAATCATTTGGGTGCTGAAAATAAGAGCCCTGTACCATAACTTCAACAGTCAGCTGTTAGAGATGTGATAAACTACGCTAATCAAGTCTCATCTTCTGTAGGAAAATGAAAAAAAATGTACAAAAAGAAGCAACATCCAGTGACGCCAAAGTTAATTATTTAACACCATTAAATAACTAAATGGCTAAAAGAAGTATAGCCACACACACGCATGCAACACTATAGAGAGACTAGCTAAAATTACCTTTATTGCAGTGCTTTTATAAGATCCAGCCCATCTCTCCATGACTCACACTGAACTGTCTTTGCCCATGCTTCCCCTGCATGCCTTTCTGTTGGGATTGCCAGTAACCACATAGAGTTCTGGTAAAGGAGGACTTTGTGTGCATCATTAATGCTGCACAGCGATGACAAACAGGATATTCCACCAAGCAATAAGCAGCTGGATTTACTCCGTGCCTTCGCAACAATGAAATCATGGGGCTAGATGTCCGAAGTTACCTCTCCAGCCACGAGCTGGCCTGCATGGAAGTGGTTCACAGGCTCACGTAGGCGACTGATCTCATCCTAGTTTTTCCCCTCTAACTGATTATGATCCTGCAACTTTCCCTAACTATTTATTCAACTGTCCTAATCTTACCATACATTTTTCTTGCTGCAAGTCCATCACTGTTGTTTATGGTTTAGGACAGTATCTTCACAACCATTGCCTTTATTTCCTAGTAGTTCTTCTCCCTGCACAAACACACCTCGGCTAGCCTTTTCTCAACAGGGTAATTTTCCAAACTTTTCATCACTTTCATTGCAGTGAGAACTCTCCACTTGATTCAGAAACTAACTACATAGTGCAAAACAACTGAGATTAGAATTAATTCTGCAGAGTTTAGCCTACTTTTGTCACCACCGACACTAATCTCTTAGTATTTAAATATACACACGCAGGGCTTTTTTCCTGTATGCAAGGGAGAGGCAATGTAAAAGATTTGGAAGGTGGAAGAGCCAGTGGCATCCACAGAAGGATAAAATATCCTGTACATTTGGACAAGGAAAGGATTTGGACAGAACATCATTTTTTATTGTTGCCTAAAACGCCTTGCAACCAAGTCAGGAGTGAGAAGAGAGCCCCATCTAACATTCATTTGCACTGGCTACAGGGCTGCATTTCATAGCAGCCATTTATACATAAGGATCTATGGATAACTGTTTCACAGGACTTTATCCAACAAAAAAAAAGAAAAAACAAACACAAAAGACAGAACGAGTCAAAAAATGATAAAAAAGTCAAAAAGTCAGGTGTTAATTTTCTCCCAAATATTGCATAAAAGCATATAGTTTTCCTTACACTTCAGGGTTTTTTTAAAAAATAAAAAACAGTTGGACTGAGCTGACTCAGACCCCATTTACCAAACCTGAGGGAGCTGGAGGAGACAGGCTATGGCAGAAGACAAGTAGCTGCAATGCTCACTCCGGATATGAAGTATCTATATTCATAACCCCGTTCTGCCCGAGGGGAAACCAAAACCTTATGCCTCACCTCTCTGAAGAGTACCCTAATCCCAGCACTTTATGCCACAGAATCAGCACAGAGGAAACTTCTGCATTAGGGCCTCAATATATACTGCAGAAATCCCTACAGACAGAGGGAAGCAGGACGTACGGCTCAGTAACACAGTGACCCTGTGGATAAGCTACGTGATTTCTAAGTCACACAAATTCCTGTCCCTGAACAGAACAGCACCGGCAGAAGAAGTTCAGAAGAACCCATCCCAAACAGCTTTAGCCTGGCAAGGAGGCCTCAAGGTTGTCTCCTGCATGATGGGGCACATGGGTCCCAACTGCCTTATCCAATGGGCACATCCTAATGGCCCAGCCAAGAAGAGAGGCACTAACAGTTGCACCCAATCGTTCATTCATCGCCTAGCACCTTCAACACTGCACAGCTGACTTGGTTTTGCCAACATCAGGTCAAAGCACTAGCTCAGGAGTAAGTGCCTCCTCTCCTTACTTTGCTGACTTGAATTGTTTTATACCTGCTTTTTTGAATGTTACCTTG